GGTTTGTATTATGGTAATGCCTTCCGTAAAATCTGGTTTGTCATTGATCTAAGGTACTTCTTATCATATTTTACAGGTTGGACCTATTAAACTCGCCATTGAGCTCGTCAAATTACTGCTTTTAAGATTAGAGAAAATAAAGCAATTTTAAAAGAAAAGAAATAAAGAGAAAACGGAGGGCAAAAGAGAAAATATGAAAGACAGTGGTGACTTTTTTTTTTTTTTTGGAACAGCGTGAAACTTTTTCCTAAGAAAAGGGAAGGGAACTTGAAATTTAATTTCAAATTCGCTAGTGTTACGCACGTTCGAGGTGAACAATAGGTCACCAAGTACGGAACGAAAGTGGTGATTTTTTGTAAGTCATTTTATAATTTTTTAAATGTAATTGATAATGAAAAAAGTCCATAGTGTGATGCCACGTTGCAGAAAGAAGTGTCATGGGTTATTGTACGGCAAATAGGTATTTAATAAGTTACCATTTTGAAGTTGGAAATATTCAAAACTTAACTCTATGAACGTACTCATAACATGATTTATAGTTATTAAAATTAAAAAGTTAAATTTAAAAAAAATAAAATTAATTAAAAAGAAAAATGCAAACTGGGAGAGTCAAACCTTAAACAAGAAGTTAGCTTAGAAAACACCCTGCCACGACCTGTTAATAATTTTTTTAAAACGTAATTTATATTGGAAAAAGTCCACAGTGTGAATGTGTGAAGCCACGTTGGAGAGAGAAGGCTCATGGGTCATTGTACGGATAAATAAATATTCAACTTACACCATTAAATTTCGGTAGTTTTTGAAGTCAAAAAAAAGTTTCGGTAATTTTTTTTAAATTATGTAATTTGAGGATTAATTTCCTTAAATTTTAAGGAAAATGGAGAACAGCCTTAAATTTTACAAGTAGTAAGGCTACACAGGGAGGTTATGTCTCAAAAAAAAAATTTTAAACTTAAATGACTTAAATATAAAACCTTTTATGTTTACTATCAATTAATTGTAAGTAGGAATCCCGCTTTATATTTCAATTCACATATTCAATTCCACAGCCTCTGTCTTTCTTACAACATTGCTTGTTGCCATTTTCCACGCACTAAGATTTTGGAGAACAATAAGATGAAAGTGAAAAAATATTTATTTACTTTATTAATTGTAAAAATAATAATTAATTAAAAATTATTTTTTAAAAGATTAAGGGAGT